CAGAAAACTCGTCCCACCCTTGTTAACCAACTCAGAGGAGAGACTCCGCCTCTTCAGTCAGCCCACAGTGCGGGCTGTCCGTCGGTGAGGGCCATGGTGTGGCTGAGGGGGAACCAGGGGTCGGCCCCAAAGCCCTGTCCCCAGTTTATCCAACACAGAGATGCCCTGCCTTGTGAGCAGCAAGCATGGAGGTCCAGAAGGCAAAGTACAAAGGTGTGGAATCAGGAAAGGTGTGAAATTCGAGGGGTAAAACAAAACAGGAGGGCAGGGTTTCGGCAAGGCTCAGTCGCAGGATAAACGGAGTCAGCAGTTCAGGGGCCAGTACCACAGTGTCTGCCTTTGCTTGTGGCACCTTCTCGGGGGGACTCAGGATGCGTCCACAGGCCTCGGGTATTGCTAGGCCCTGTGCCGGGCACTGGAAAGGTCATGCTGAAGAAGACAACGTCGTCACTAAGCTCCCAGATGCACAGTCCATATGTGGGGGCAATTGATATAAACCACGAAAACAATTATAATACACTTACACCCTGCATGCTAAGAAAGAGAATAATGTTGGAGGTAACATTTGGGCTGAAAACTGAAAGATGCGAAGGATGCCAAGAACAGAGAGACCACATCAACAGATGAAGGAAGGAACAAAATGTACGAGAGAACATTATTTGGACTTAAAAAGGAATGAAGTTCTGATACATGCTACCTCATGGACGAACCTCAAAGGCAACCTTAAGTCAAATAAACCAGACATAGTGTATGAGTCCACATATACAAGGTACCTAAGATATAAGTTCATGGAGACAAGAAGTAGCATAGAAATCACCGGGGGCTAGAGGGAGGCAGGAACTGTGATTCTTGTTTAACGAGCAGCACAGAGTTTTGTTTAGGGTGACACAAACATTCTGACAGTGGGTGCCGGCCATGGCTGCGCAGCACTGTGGAAGTCCTTAATGCCACTGAACTGCATGCTTCTAACTAGCTACAGTTTTACATTGGGTGCATTTGACCACAATAAAGCAGTGTTCAAGTGGGTTGGTGAGCATTTCAAGTAGAGTAAGAATCACGAGCGGAGGCCCTGCAGCTAGGAAGAGCTCAACGCGTCGGGTGGGAGTGATGGGAGATGATGGAACCTGGGGAGAAGCCAGAAAGGCCAAACCCCTGTTGGCTCCCACGGCCACAGTTAGGAGCCATTTCACTGTTTTTTAGATGGGTTTTAAGCAAGGAGAGGGGATAATCCAATTTATGTTTCCAGAGGTTCGTTCTGGCTGCTGTGTGGACAATGCGCCAGAGGCGGCAGGTGTTGAAGTGGACTCTGGTAGGGACTGGTCGTACCAGACGCACTGCTGATAAGAAGCCCCAGCTGGAAAGGAAGTTACAGCCTCACAAGGCAGGAGAGCATATCTGGTTAATACAAGCTCCTAGAATCGTCCCCCCAGTGTGCCCACACTGCAAACTGCTCCTCCTCACTGGACTCTTACCCAGGAGGCAAATGCCCCTTCCAGGGGACCACCCCATGTCCCCGTTGGAACTCTCTCAGCCTTTGCCCCTCTTCTCCCATAAACGTCGGCGCTCCCCCTCCTGTAACGGTGGTGTGGCTGCCTTTTCTCTCCTCCCAGACGCCAGGCTTTCTCAGTCACAGGATCCGCCTTACACAACATGAGACCCAGGCTCCGAGTTAGTTGTTGACGATAACACACTTCAAGTGATTCCCTCGCCTTGCTCCTGGCTTGGCTGAATTTTTTAAAACTTACAACTCGTATCTCTTGTAAAAATTTAAAAAAAATAATAACAATAACAAGATCATAGGAAATGCAAGGTAGAGACACTATCTTGTCCAGAGGGTTCATGGAAATGTGTGGCTGACATTTCTGCCAAGTCCTACCTACGTGGGAAGAGGGGACCGCAGCAGCCTTTCAGCCCCGCCTCCAGCTCTGAGGCCCACGGAGTTGGGGCGCCCATGTCACAGGCCCCCAGCAGAGCCACCAAGGACACAGGGACTGGAAGAACAGGAACGGCACCTCCTCCGGCAGGCAAGTCCGTCCTAGGACATGCATGCCGCCATCTGAAACTCACAGCTGCTCGCTTCACAAGTACCTGGCCCTCTGCAGCATTCGAGTTCACAGTTTGCTTGTGTTCTTAGTGGAATTCCCAGTTCCTGTGGCTTTATAACTCTGAGCTAAAAATACAGTGCTGGCTGGCACACAGCCCAGATGCTGGAGGCCCAAAGAAGACTGAAGGATAAATAAGAAGGGGTGTGCTTCTGAGGGGAGCAGGCACAGCCCTGAGAAGCGGTGGCCACGTGGTGACGCGCAGGAGGTGGAGGAGGGTGTCAGCAGGCAGAGAGCAGTTGTTAGAGGAGGGAAGAGAGAAGTGAAGGTCTTCGAAATAGCAGGTCTCTAGGGGGTATAGCATGTGCTCCCTAACCTCCTCCATGCTCAGTCCAGGAATCCAGAGGGAAACCCAATTTTCCAAGTACTACAACCTGTCTTATATGGGGTTTCCTATGTAAATCCTTAGGGAGTTCTCTGATGTGCGTTACGACACATTTGCTAAGTTCTGAATTTTAATTGATCCACTGAAAGATAATGTTAGAACTAAAATATACTTTCAGAATTTCTTAACCCACGGGATAGTACTTAGCTATTAAAATGTGTTTAGAGTTAGAAGTCATAAATCAGAATAGCAAAGGGATTAACTCAGCCAAGCGCATCACTGAGGTTTCTTAGATATACAATAAATTCAATGAAAACTGAGTTTTTTTCTTTGTTCAAAAAATGGAAACAGCTTTGTTATATGTTAAAAACTCCTTCAATACAGAAAGTATAGAAAATATAACAACCTTCCAGGACCCCCTCCCAGTGGAAATGACCACTGTTAACATTTTGGTGCCCAGCTTTCTACACGTCTTCATAAGCCTCCCTGAACTATTTCAAAAGTAAGATGACATTATTCATAGTTTCAACTCAGCAATATACTATTAATACTTACCTGTGTCAAGGAATATTCTTTTTCAACATAACTTTTATTGACTATAATATTCCATTTTGTGTATGTATCACAATTTATTTAACCAATCTCCTACTGATAAACATTTGGGATTATTTCCAATATTTCACTATTATAAGTAATTATAAATAAATAGAACTTCAGAAAAATTAAAAACGTGAGTGCTTCATATTTCTCTCTACAAGTAAATTTAAAAACCTGGATGAAATAGATGATTTTTAAGAATATGTGAATTATCAAAATGGATGCCAAAAAGGATTACAAAACTTAAATAGCCCATTAAGTATAGATTTATAAATTAAAAAAAAAATTTGGCTACCTCTCCAAAAGTACTACATCCAGGTAGTTTTCCAGATGGAATCTCCCAAATCTTTTAAAATTCTATTTATATTATTTTAGAGAAAAGGAAAAGAAAGAAAATCTCTTACATCCTTTTTTAAAATCAGAATAACATTAATACCAAACCCCTATAGATCACAAAGAATAGACAATAGAGACAATAGACCAATCCCATTTATGACTATCAATATGAAAATTCTAAGTAAAATTTAACAAATATAATCTATGTTAAAAAATAAAACACAAAAATCCCCAGAAGAATCCATTCCAGCAGTTACTATTGATCATTTAAGAAATCTAATAATATAACTCCTCATATGACTGCTTAAAAGGAGAAAAATATATATGGTCACTTTAATACATGCCTAAAAGACACGTAAAAAATAACATTTCTGATTTTTAAAAATCCTAGTAAAATGAGAACAAATGAATGCTTCCTTCAGTTTATGTAGATAGAGCCCAAAACCAGCAAACATGGTAATAAGTGAAGAGAGAGAAAGCCAAAAGCAGAAAACAACTCAAATGGCTGAGACATGGAAACAGCCAAACTGTGTCCTCCCCAGAGGACAGGACAAGGAGACATGGCACACAGGTACTGCGGAACACCACTCAGCCGCAAGAAAAGATGAAACGCTGCCATTTGCAACAATAGGGCTGCACCTTGAGGATATCATGCTACATGAAATAAGTCAGTTGGAAAAAGCTAAGAAGCCTATGATTTCACTCATCAGTAGGATATTAAAGGAACTCATAGGCACAGACAACAGTGTGGCAGCTGCCAGAGCAGAGGATCATGGGGGCAGGAAAGGGGAAAGGAAGCCAAATACATGCTGACGGAAGATGATTTGACTTTGGATGGTGGGCACGTAATGCAAGATATACAGGTCGTGTGCCACAGAAATGTACACTTGAAACCTACATAATCATGTTAACCAATGTCACCCCAACAAATTTAATTTTTTTAAAAGAAGACTTTTTTTCCAAACAACTACCAACACCACGATTTCAAAAAGAGAAAACAAACCAAAAGTCAACATGTTCATAAAAACGGAAGTAGTGTACCATTGTGCTTAAGAACACAACCTCTGAAACTAGAATGCCTGAGTTCGAATTTCGCCTCCACCACTCGTTGTACGACTTTGGACAAATCAACTTCTGCACGCCTCAGTTTTCACCTGTGGACCCTGTCGGGACTGAATGAGTTGATATATAAGGTGCTGAGAACAGCACCAGGCACACAGTGCTAGGTCCGTGTACATAAGAATACAAGTAGATATATATATATAACATCAAAAGCCAAGTTCATGAATGAATAATGAGACCCTAAAACCATTGCCATGAAAGTCGGGAATAAGACGAGAATATTCAAAGTCAGCACTGCTAGTTAAACGTTTGTTCTGGAAAGCACCAGCCAAGTGATTGATCAAGAGAAAACATAACTTGTATAAGTGTTGAAAAACAAAAGATGGAATTATCATTATTTGCAGATGATAGGACACTATTCCTGAAAAACCCAAGAATCAATTGAGAACCTATTAGGAAAAAATGGGAATTTATTGGGTTTACTTAATTCATTCACCACCCCCAAAAGAAATTTAAGAGAGACATATGAAAATCTCAACATGGTATAAGCTATGAACCTGAACCTTTTGAAAACTCACCTTGGCAATTTAATCTGGGGGACTCCCATGTACCCAAGGCTGTGCAGCTTGAAACTGTATCTTCTAGGCCACTGAAAAATCCTTCTTTGCAAGTGTAACGAACCTGGCTGCCAAGCGTGGAAGTATAATTGCCTACGATATAGGCATCTGGGACCTCGGGAGGGGTGCCACAGTCTATTTCTGAAAATAAATTAATGTCAAACTCATTACCATGTGAACATGAATTTTCAAAATTCAGAATCTCTCTTCCCCTGCCCCATTCCCCCTCCCTCCACACACAGACCCCAGCCATGTTTTAAATAGAAGGGTTCATTTACACATGACTCCTGGGCACGTTCCCAACGTCTATCTATGTTTCGTCTTCTGGCTTTCTATCAGTAATAGCAGCATACATGCGCAAAGCTGAAAGAATTTGGCCATCGGCCCTCACTAACTTATACTAGCTAAAGAGACGCTTAGTCCAATGCAGTGAAAAAGCTGCATTGCCAAGTCCCTTAAGATACATATGCCTTTCCAGTTTTCAGGGTCACTTTTGAGAAGCTGACCCTTACCAGATCAGCTGTGTTCCCAAGCTCACATAACAGTGAATATCCGCGTATCTATTAACTGCTAGAAATCCCTCAAGTTTACCAATTTTAGCTTTTTAATATCGTCCCTTCTATCTTGATTATGCTGTCATTTGCTTATTTCACAGGTGGAATGAGTGTGCAGCGGAACTAAGAATCCCCAACACAGACCCACAGGCACAGGCTCCGCGCGGGAGGCAGTGGCCGCCCACAGCAGCCCGCTGTCCCAGGCGGCACTCTCTGGCAGAAACCCACCTGTGCACGACGTGGCGTCTCTGGTCGGGTGGAAGGGCTCGGGCCCGCTCTTTGGCACGTATCCGTCCCCACAGTGGCATTCAAAGCTCCCGTGAGTGTTCACACACCGTCCTCCTTGCCCGCACAGGCTGGAAACCTCACACTCATCTATGTCTGGAGAGCCGTCCCAAACATAAGAGGGAGAGAAAATACAGAAAAAGGGGAAAAAGGTGTGTGGGGGTGGGGGATGCGACATTGTGACGGCCACTTTTCACATCCTCAGTCTGCACGTACAAACGGGTGCCTTTATTTGCAATCGTATAGTGAATTTTATTTCAGTCCCTAAGGGGTCTTCTCGTGCATCCTTCAGTAAGAGGTGCTCAGTGAGTACCTGTGACCTTATTCTGGGGATTTATAAAAACCAGCCACCATCACCAACCCTCTGACGCCGAATAAGGTGAACCAAAAAAAGTATGCTAGAAAAATTCCATTACTATAAAATAAGGATGGCCTCAACCACACACTGAAAATACCTGAAGAACTCCACATACAAAACAGTTTAGACAAGAGTCAAAAATGCTTTCAACAGTGAACATAGGAGAGTAAGACAGGTAGGAAGGGGATCCTTCAGGTAACAAGGTCTTACTAATTTTACCAAGATGACAAGGGCTTAGAACAGGCTTCCAGAAGGATAAGACGTGCTGCTTGGCAGGCCCTTCCCCTCGACTGAGAATGAGGAGAAGCAGCAGGTCCGGGGCCAAGAAAAACACACATTAGTTCAGAGTCTGAAAAAGAATCCTCTCGGCGAGTTAGCAGCCCCTCACCCCCACCCCGAACTGGCTTAGACAACAAAACTCAGGGCCACCCCCACCCATTTCACCGGGAGAATAAAAGTACCTTAAGTGAAGAGGGGCGTGTCCCAGGACTTGGTGCGGGATGTCTCGGGGCTGCACAGGGCACAGCGAGACCGAGGAAAGTCTGGTTGCTCCCAGACCCTGGGACTTCAGACACCAGTGATTTTGGAAGGGCTGCCAAAGGTGGCCAGTATTCTGTTTTGCCAGATAAAAGCTTTCTTTTTTTTTCCAAAAAAATTTACTAACACCATAATTTCATAAAAGAAGGAAGAAAATGATCTCGGAATTCTCTTAAATTTGTTTAACGTAATTTTATTGAAATTCACTATTTTGTCCTTTTTTTGTTTGTTTTGGAGGTTTTTTTGTGTTTTGTTTTGTTCTGCTCTGTTTTGTTTTGTTTTTGGTCTTGGACCAATGAAAACCTCATCAATCACTGATCTTTGTTTGGTAATTCACTCAGTTGTGGAAGGAGCCCACACAAGCTGCCAATTCTGATTAACCTGCCCTTGTAGTACAGCTAACTTTGGGGAACTCTTTGTGGGAGGCTGTCTTCCCAGATGGCTGGCGACAATTCTTCCTCTCCCTTTCTTGCATGCCACTCCTCCTGTCAAGAGTGGAATCCATCCCCGCTCCCCTTGGGCTGGCTTTGGGACTTGCTCTGGCCAATGGAATGGGGCAGCAGTAACACCGTGTCTGCTCTGGGCCTAACTTTGAAGACATCTGGAAGATTCCTCTTTCCCTCTCCTAGACGCTGGTGGCTATGCTGTAAGGAAATCCAGGCCATCGGACTTGCAGGGAGGCCCTAAAAGATGAGACTCCACGTGAAGAGAGAGGTCACGTGGAGGAGAACTCAGGCACCTGGCTGACCGTCTGCATCAGGGCCCTAGACATGTGGGAGAGGCCCTCTCTTACCTCCCAGTCCCACCCCACCCAGCCCCAGCTGGAGGTATCTGCACAGGTGACAAAGCTACCCAGCCATGGAATTTTGACAAATGATTGTTGTTTTAAGCCACTAAATGTAAGAGGGCAGGGGTGGGGGGAGAGTAGAGTCAAGTAGTAATAGATAATTAAGACAGTTTCTAAAAGGTGATTTTATTCATTTTTAGAGAAAGGGAAAGTGAGGGAGAAAGAAAGTGGGAGAGAAACATCAATGTATCAGTTGCCTCTCGAGTGCCCCCAGTCGGAGACCTGGCCCGCAACCCAGGCATCTGCCCCGTCTGAGAATCGAGTCAGTGATCCTTCAGTTCTCAGGGCAGCACTCAATCCACTGAGCCATACCAGCCAGAGCTAATTAAGACATAAAGACATAAGACATAAGTTTTGACATAAAAAGAGACACAGATGCCCAAACAAGATTAAGAGAAAACTATTAGTTAAAAACCAAGAGGTCTTTTACATTAAAAACAATATATGAACACCAAAAATAAAAACTCCATCAATAGAGACACTGAATAACAGGGCCGATAATAATTGACCAAATGCCAAAAAAGAAACATGCAGATTCCAACTTGAGGAATTCTCCAAAAACACATAGAAAAAGAAATGACATGAGATAGAATATAGGACAAAAAAAATGAGATGAGGACCAATCCAAAATACTCAATATCCATTTTAGAGTATAAAACGTATACTTTTTAAACTACATTCTTTTTTCCATCCTCATTCCACTTGGCAACCATCTGTATTCATTTCAGAGGAACTGCAGAAGAGAGTAGAGTAAATGTACAACAATTAGTACTAAAAAACTTCTCAGCTTATGAGTTCAAATCCAAATAGCCTTTACAACTGACAGGCATGAATATTGAAAAGTGAGCCCTGGCTGACGTAGCTCAGTGGATTGAGCTCAGTCTGCGAACCAAAGTATCGCAGGTTCGATTTCCAGTCAGGGCACATGCCTGGGTTGCAGGCCACGGCCCCCAGCAACCGCACATTGATGTTTCTCTCTCTCTTTCTCCCTCCCTTTTCTCTCTAAAAATAAATAAATAAATCTTTAAAAGAAAAGTGAAAGTCATCCTGAACTTCGTGGAATAAGGGGAACTTCTATAAAGCTCCTGAGAGAAAGGGGTGGCCATCGATGAGGCAAAGAGAACCCGTCTGCCCTGGGCTTACGGTCGGACACGTAGGCGGCCAGGCGGCAGGGGAGTGATGCAGGCAGAGTTCTAAGGAAAAGGGAGCAAAACATCATGCTCTGCATAAACAAAGGAATGACCTTTCAGAACATGAACGGTCTCGGAACTCTCACCGCTGACATTTCCTTGCTGAAAAAGATTTTCGAGGAAACACTGCAGCCAGTGAAAAACATCAGAATGAAGAACGGCAACAGGAAGACGTAATCAAACACAACAAAGAGGGTTGAGACATGAAACCAGCGAAACTGAGGGTTACACCATTGCTGACAATAAAATCACGATGCTTTTGGCAACTGTTAAGAAAGGATGCTTAAAATAAAAATAGTGGAAAATAAATCCGATCACAACCTAGAACAAACTTCAGAGATGCTTTCAACATAGCAGAATACATCTGTTTCTAGATTTGATCCATCCTTATAAAAATCTTGATAAAAGCTTTATCTCACTGAAGGATTTGTAAAATACATATGTGTAGCTTTGACACAGCCTGTCCACCTGCTCCAGACTCCTCAAAAGACAGTGGAAACCAGTGTTGTTGGGTTTTTGTGTATGTTTTTTTTTATAGAATTCTAAAAGTGAGCAGTACGAGTAACTATGGGGCAAAAAGTGTGGCTAAGCAGCAGTGGTCTGCAAAATAGTTAGTGTTTCTAGATACTGACCAGCTCTGCATGGGTCCCTACAGTCCATATCAGTTTGCTGTGTGTCCCATCATTCAATAACCTGATAAAAACAATTGTCATAATGATTGTTGATAACTATTTCTGCACAGCATCTTGCACATACTAGGGACTGTTCTAAACCCTCATTATTTATTGCTGATTATTTCTCTCTTATTTAGTCCTCAGAATAACCCGGGAGGCAGGTGCTATGACTCTCCCCACTTGACAGATAGAGTGACTGAAGCATGGAGCGGTTGGACTGAGGTCACGAAGGTGAGTAGTGGGATGCCGGAATTGGAAGCCGGGTGTCTGGCTCCAGAGACCATGCTCTTGACCCCTACGCCTGCTGTCTCTCCCATGACAACCTGATTGCATGAACATCCAATCGATAATTCCCCATTCACAGAGAGTGTCGGAGACAACATGGGTTGCCTTAATGACGTCTAGAACTATCTACTGTGTCTCACTGAGGTGAGTATCGCATGATTTTTTAAAAGATTTTATTTATTTATTTTTTTAGAGAGGGAAGGGAGGGAGAAAGAGAAAGACAGAGAAACGTCAATGTGTGGTTGCTGGGGGCTGTGGCCTGCAACCCAGGCATGTGCCCTGACTGGGAATCGAACCTGTGATGCTTTGGTTCGCAGCCCGAGCTCAATCCACTGAGCTACGCCAGCCAGGGCTAGTAGGACATGATTTTGACTTTCAATCCCCTGCTATCTCTTATGCTCGCAAACCATCCCTTTTCTAACCCATTTTAGCATCTCGGCTGGATAAACCCATTAAGCTTATAGGAACAACTTCTCCATATACTGGTAAATTCCATGGGGTCTCCAAGGTTACACATGTTTGATTGTGAAGAAAAAATGTTCTCAGCAATCTTATTAATATACTTAACCAGTCAAGGGGGGAAATTCCCTGTGTCCTATTCAATACATTGAATTATTAAGTTTCATACGCAGCCAGAACAATTTCTTGCTAGAAAGTAGCTAACCTGAGCAGGACACTCTGACCTGGCCCCAAGGGCCTGGTGTTCTATATTTAGCCCTTTCAATGAACAGTATGGGTTTGAAAGTCAGGAAGACCCAGGTTTGAGAACTGATTCAGGTACTTAGTAGATATACTAATGTCTGTTCCTTAACCTTTATAAACTACTTCTACAAAAAACGAAGCTAATTATAGCAAGGTTTTTTTTGTGTGTGTGTGGGGATTAAATAAAACATGCGGAAAGCACTTAGACCAGTATCTGGCAGACCGTGGGTCCTGGGAATATTAGCTAATACGTGCACAAGTCTCTCTCTGCTGACTCCTATCTCCCTGGAGCACAACCACGCCCTCATACCTGAGCCTAGGCCTGGCCGTGAGCAATGCTGCCGGGGGTCTGGGGCGTGGCCACCTGCCTGTTCCACTGGATCTGAATGCCCCGAGGCGGAAACAGAAAGTCCATCTGGGGGACAGGGCACTGGAACAGGAGGGCCAAGGAGGCAAAAGTTTAAAAAGAGGCTAGGCTGTGAATACCCCATTAAACACAAGCCCTTGTCTTGAGAAACTTTTAAAATGCGAAGACTTAGAATAGACCCGACAAGAAAAGCGCATTCAAGAACTTTCAAGACCCTGAAAATGCTCGCAGGGCCAACTTTTCTCCATACTGCTGCCTACGAACTAGATCCTCCCAACTCCACCAAAGAAAGAAGAGACAAAACTTCATCCTTCACGACTTGCAGAGTACATCTTTTTCCTGCCACCTTCCTTCCTCAAATGTCAAATTCAGCTAAGCCACAGTAGAGGAAAATACACGTACCCATTTAAAATCAGGATTGTTCGACTCACATCATCTATGAACATTATCCAGTGCTGGCAAGGATGTGAAGAATTGCACACTCTCATGAAATGAGTAGTCAGGGAGAATATTGCTATGAACTTTCTGGAAGACGGTCTGACACTATGTACCAAAAGGTGTACCTTTGACACAGAAACCATTTTTTCGAAATGTGTAAAAGGAGATCATTATTTGTAAGGTTCTAAGTGCAAGATGTACCTTACAGCATTTCTTACAATAGCCAAAAACAAACAAACAAACAAACAAACAATCCAACCCTCAAGAAACATTCACAATAGGGAAAATCAGTTGAGTCATAGTACAGCCATATAATAAATTCTGGATATGTAATTTAAAATGAATTGTATCTCTATCTCTAGTATTTCTGAAAACAGTTGTAACGTACATTCAATCAAATGTACTGATCTTAAGCGTTCAGGCCATGAATTTTGAATCCAAAGACGTTGAACCAAAGCTCTGCCCCCAAAATGTCAGAGGCCTTCACGAAGGCCCCCTTGCCCCTTCAGGGAGGGAGGGGGCACCCCTGAGTTCCCCCACAGGTTAGCATCCCCCACACTCTCCTCTTGCTTCCCACTTGCTCGAGCCCCAGGACACAGATACGGCAGGTTCTTCCCCAGGACCTTGTCTCATCTCTCTCCACCCACTCTCGGCCCGCTCGAGTCAAAGCGCTGTCTGTCACACTGAAGGGCCGCAGAGCTTATTCCTTCGGGTGGTGGCCCACGCCAAAGTTTCCCCGATCCCCAGGAGTCATTCAGAGGGCAGCCCCGGGGCCAGAACAGCTGCAGACTCTCCAGAACAGGAACCCCTACCCTAGAACCCCTGCACTCCTTCTTCATCTAACCTTGGCGACATCCAAAGAGGCCTACGTGCAACCAGCTCCTGAACTTGACTTGAACTCTGCAAAGTATGAGGAACATCAGGTGGCTGGATTCCTCCTAATTCAAGAACTATGATTTATAGCCTTTGGTTCCAGGCAAACGCTGACTAACTGCTGATACCCCAAAACTTGCTAAGCCTCTGCCCCAGCTAAAGTCCACTGATGTTTCTGTGGCAACTGTGATTTTGAAAAACAAAAACAAAAACTCAGTATCATCAAGAAAAGTAACCCCTCAGCTTTCACAAAGTGATAGCTGGAGATCTCAAGAGAATGAATAAATGAGAATGAATGAGAATGAGTCATGAGAATGACTCATAAGAACGAATGATCGTTAATGGACGTGGGGCTTCTTCCTGGGGGAATGGAGATGTTATAACATTTGATAGCGGTGACCACTGCTCAACTTTGTGAATACAATACACTGAAAACCACTGAACTGTGTATTTCAAAAGGGTAAATGTTACAGCATGTAAATTATATCTCAATTTTTTTTGAAAGAAAAGGTCACTAAATAATTACAAGAACTACAATAAATAGAAGCAGGGCTCAGATCAGGATTTTATTCCAGAAAGATTGGTTCTTATCAGGCGGACATCTAAGGGTGTGACCCTTGCGTAAATTTTTTTCTTCTTTCTAGCTTTTGAAAATAGAATGCATCCTTGAAAACTATAGTGACATCGTTATAAAGCTTTTTTTCCTAGAAAATTCCCACAGCCTTGAAAACACAATGTCAGGTATCACGTCCTCCAGAAAGTTCCCCGATCCCTTTCCCACTTCCAAGGTAAGTGCCCCTGGGGATTCTGGGTTCCAGTAAGCCCCCTTTGCTGACCTAAGTATCACTACCACTTCATACTGAAATTAACTGCCTGCATCACCTTCTATGTCTGCACCACTAGCCTAGAAGGGCATGGGCAATATGTACTGAAATGAACTGAACACACCAGATCATCTTCTTGTAAGGTTTTTTTTTTTTAATGGTACCTTTAAAAAAAAAAAACTACCTAATTTTATCCCGCAACATTGTACTTCTGCAATTGTATGGCAAGTAATTTGCTGCCTAAAACAACAGGATATTATAAAATGTCTTCTTGGAAGAAACGTGCTCATTCGTGCCAAGAACAAACCAAGTGGACCCTCAGAGGGGCCTTAACCGTGGTGCAGGTCAAGAGGGAGAAGGAATCACAGCGTCTTGGTGAGTAAGAAGACAGACCATGTTCTCCTCTCCCTCTCTTTTCCCTGAAAACCTTTAAATATAGCAAGGCTTTTAAGCCGAGTCATTAAGCCTGTATAAACGCATCTTAGAATCAGCAGTCTCTTCCTGCCTTTCCTCTTCATTAGTGTTCAAAGATTTTCTAAGAAAACCAAGAGCTACATTATCATGGCATGCCGTAAGTAGAGTTCAGAAAGTACAGGGGCCACTGAAAATTAGGAGGGTTTTGCCCACCCCTTGATGTTGACCAACATATGCCCAGAAGTCTGACCATCCAAGCTACTATGGTCTGAAAAGTTACACTCGTCACTCAGCTTATTCCCTGCAGGAGGTGAGCTCACCACGCCTCTAACAGGAGTGGCTCTCAGACCCCCCGGGGCCCACATCACCGTGCCCAGCCCTGGGACCTGAGTGGGCAGTGCACACAGAGCTGGTGAATGCCGGTCACCCCAAGAACAAACACCCCACCATGTTACAGGAGCCTCCAAATGGCACACCATCTCTGAGACTCCCTCCTTGCTATTTGCTATAAAACTGATCAAACACACAGAACAAAGAAGAGAATATTGCAGTGAACCCCCATAGACCCACACCCTCAAGATTCAACAGTTGTTCACATTTTGCCATTTAAAGTACTTTACAGATACAGTAACACTGGATGCTTTGTAACAACACCCCTATATACCTCAAAATAAGAATATTCTCCTAAATACCTCAGTACCGACATCCCATCTAATGAAATTAACCATAACTCTCCAATAGTAACCAATGCTCAGGCCATGTCCGATTCTCCCTCATAGATGTTCTTACAGGAGCGCCCCTCCCTGACATCGCTCCCTGTCCCGGCCCAGCCCGGCCCCCTCTCTGCACCCCCAGGGGGGCCCCCGCCACGCCAGGTCGCCCCCACGGCAGTCCCCTTCGTGAGTACCTGTGCAAAAGGTGCCGTCGTTGGGGATGAAGGTCTTGTTGTTGTTCGTGGCTCGATATCCTTCGAGGCAGATGCAATAGAAGCCTCCGGGCGTGTTGTGGCACGACGTGTGGTTCCCGCAGACCACCGCGGCCCCCAGCTGGCACTCGTTTTTATCTGCGGACACACGGAGGCGGCGCCCAGGACGGGTCAGCCCACGCAGGGTGGACCCGCGCCCGCCGTTCTCCCGCACCGCGGAGCCAACGTGCTGTGTGACCTGTTTGCCCAGCCCCGTTTCCCGTCACCGTCACCGCGCTTCTCGGGCCACAGGAGACGTGCCCCTCGGAGCCCCGCGCTCGGTGGATGTGACGCCACAAGGGAAACCCGGCCCCTCCGCCTGGAAAGCCGTCTTATTTGAACCCTGGGGGCCGGCGATTCCCACATTTGGAAAGAGCTTATCACAGGCCTGGGGGGACATACCCAGCCCAAATCCCACTCTTCTGGCTCAGCCATCGCTCTTGCTTTTTTTTTTTTTTTTTTTCCATGAAAGCCAGAGGAGGATGGTGTTACAGGTCGTGATTAACTGGAAAAATTGCTACTTCTGGGTTACCGGGAAACACAACGGCATTAGCGCCCTAGCCTCATTCCGGAGCGGGGCTGACACGGTGGCAGGAACAGCTCCTCGATGGCCCACGTGAACGACGTGAGTCACCCAGCGAGGCGGAACTGGAATATGGGCTGCTTGGCGAGTCCACGGAAGCCTGCCCCGAGTGTTTTTAATTCAGTAATTGGATAGAGATGCAAAATTAAAGTAACCCTCCTTCCCTTCTCTGTCCTCTGGCTGCAAACTTTTGGGGTAAATGGCCATAGGTCTCTGGTTATCACAGCTTGAACGGACTTTTGCAACCCCAAACAGCCACAGACAATAGGTTTAAAAAAGAGCAACACTGCCCTGGCTGGTGTGGCTCAGTGGAGTGCAGACTCACAAACCAAAGGGTCACTGGTTCAATTCCCAGTCAGGGCACATGCCTGGGTTGTGGGCCTGGTTCCCAGTAGGGGGCGCTTGAGAGGCAACCACACATTGACATTTCCCTCTCTTTCTCCCTTCCTTTCCCTCTCTAGAAATAAGTAAATAAAATATTTTTTCAGACCTGGCTGGCGTAGCTTAGTGGATTGAGTGTGGGCTGCGAACCAAAGTGTCGCAGGTTCGATTCCCAGTCAGGGCACATGCCTGGGTTGTAGGCCACGGCCCCCAGCAATCACACATTGATGTTTCTCTCTCTCTTTCTCCCTCCCTTCCCTCTCTAAAAATAAATAAATAAAATCTTTTAAAAAAGGAAGTTAATTAAGAAATTCAATTTTAAAAAATAAATAAAATAAAATATATTTTCTTTTTAAAGAGCAATGTCATGTTCTAATAAAACTCTATTTACAAAAACAGGTAGTGGCCAAATTCTTCCCTAGCCTCTACCATCAGAAGAAATTCCTGTGATCAATTTCTTATGCATCTTTTTAGAGCTGATCTATCCAGGTAGTGGTTTGAAGTTTTTGTTTTATGGGGTTGGGGTGGAACCATTAACTTATGAAATGCAGTTTTTCTGTTTGTTTGTTATTTGGTGATTGATCACAGCATTGGTTCCTCAAAGCCGTCCTGTTGCCTCTCACAATAGCTCAATTTCTGCTAACTGGAAAGTACGCCCCCAAGCCCTGGCTGGTGGCTCAGGAGGTTGGATAACCGTCCTGTACACCAAAAGGCTGCGGGTTCAATCCCTGGTCGGGGTATATATGGGAGACAACCAATCGATGTACATTGATGTTTCTCTCCTCTCCCTTCTTCTCTCTCTGAAAAAAAAAAAATAAACATATCCTCGGAAATAAAAAGTACCCCCCCAAAAAATCTGATGTCAGTTTTTTCTTTCATTTTTCTTATATTACCTTTGTTAAAATTTAATGAAACCTGGACCGTGATTCATTGTTAAAACTGCCTGTGGTGAGGCCCGCCTGAGCACTTAGAGAGACAAAGGAGCCGCAGCCAGAGCCAGGCAAAAGCATCCAGCCCAGCTGACTGAGCACTGCATGGGGTTCAGACACGAGTCCAGCTGCCCCCAACATGGGTCATTCCTGGCCTTCGCCATCTCTGCCATTGTCTCTGAGGCATGTCTCTCCTCCCCCATTGCAGACTTCACCAGAAGGGCTTGTAGCAGATTCTCGAATTATTAGGTCCCTTGGCATAATGCCACATCATAGCACCTCTGGCACAGGTGTAACCTCACCTGTGAACTGTGGCATGGTGTCAGCGGGCCACGTACTGGAAAGCACAGTGTCTAGTGTTTGGAAGCAAGCAGCACAGAAATTCATAAAGCCCCCTCCTTCCACTGGGAGAAGTCTGTATTGTTCAGAAGTCAAAAAGCAATCAAGGGGGCAGGGGGTTTTCCTGGGAGGAGGGCCTCATTTGGGGAGGGAGGAGTAAAGGATGGATTACCCTTGGTCCTCAACTCCAACGGCATTGCCAAGCCCCTGCTAGCAATCGGTGGGGAGGGGGACGAATGAAGTTCCCTCAAGAACCTTCAACTGCTGGGCAGCCACACCTGTCATGGGCAGAATCCTAGGGAGAGACTTAAAGGAGGCACAAGTCCAGCCTGCAGGAACTGGCGACAGTGTGTGACTGTGAAAACTTGTATCTGTGAAGTAGAATATGGCTTTTTGAACTCAAAACTGAGCTCTTGTTGTTGTTGTTTTTAATAAAGACAAAAAACACAAAGATATCACGAGAGCCCTGGACAGGGGGCTCAACTGGTTGGAGCATCTCCCCTACACCAAAAGGAGTGCACAAGAGGCAACCGATCAATGCTTCTCTCTCACATTAATGTTTCTCTCTCTCTCTCTCTCTCTCTTTCAAATCAATAAACATATCCTTGGGTGAGGATTGAAAAAAAATATCGCAACAAAGTTATGTACACTGTCAGTCCAAACCTCAAGGCAACACTATCAATGTGTTTACCGCACATAGCAAGGTCGCTGGGAGGAACCAGTTATTACAGTAGCATTCATTATTACAAAGTTGCTGTGAAACTCTCCCTCTCTCTGGACTGGGCTTGAACCTGGATATTGTGTGACTCTCATGGCATGGTAGATAGTAGGAGGCAAAAAATGATCTCAGATGCTTCTGGCCTAAAGGTCTTTATATTTTTTAAGTCACCCAAGACTCCAAAAGGTCACAACCACAAAAAAAAATTTGGAGGATGGATTCTGGATGACATAAGACTCAAAGCAACAGTGTTTCATCAATTAGCCAAAAAGTGTGGCAATTGTGTCTTGTTTTTACTAATGATACTTTATCTTGAAAGGTTTTTACTTATTTATTTCTAGAGAGAAGGGAAGGGAGGGAGAAAGAGGAGGGAGAGAAACATCAATGTGTGGTTGCCTCTTGAGCGCCCCCTACTGGGGACCTGGCCCACAACCCAGGCATGTACCCTGACTGGGAATCGAACCGTACTCATGATACTTTAATATAAGTAGCTTTATATCCAAACAACCAGAGAAATTAAGAAACTCAATATTGACTTGAGTCACTCAGTTCAGCTGAAGACAAATTAGATTTCAAATCTGTGCTAGACCAGAGACTCTTCAGAGATTCAAGTTCAATGACCTCTAACTTCCTTGGAAACACTAGAGACAGGATATGTCCAAATACTAAAACAAACACTTATTATAAATTGACAAAACTTCTTCTAATAAAAACAGGTGGAAAAAACCCAATGTTTTCTCCCCAAGGACATCAAGTCTTAAACACTAGAGAATCTCGTTTCTTGGTTTGTTCAACTTTGTCACGCAAGGCAGGATTCGGAACTCACCGATACACTGAGTCCTCCCGTTGCCCACAAATCCGTACTTGCAAATGCACATCTTCTTCCCTTCCCGTTGCTTGCAGGTGGCGTGCTCATGGCAAGTGGCACAGATGTCTACACCTGAATCGCAAATTGTACATACCGGGGAAAGAGAATGTCAGTCACCTCCTCCAGACAAGTCACATTTTGGGTAGTAAACATGTATAACGGAGAACCAAAATTTAAACACCAACATTGAGAAGGATCTGATTCTATCCTTGAAGCCCTACAATGACTGTTCCTTGTGAACAGAGTCAAGGGCAGGTTCCTCTACCTGGCAATTGAGGCTCTTAGCTGTCTGACTCGAGGCTAACTCCTCCAGCTTCATTGTTCCCAAGTCCGAACCACACGCGGCGCTCTCTGATCAGGAGGCCGCCTCGTCTTCCCCATACGTGCTGCTCACTCGTACTGCACGCCACGGTCACGATGTTCCCCTCAGTCAGAGTGCCTCTCGCTCCACCTCCGACCAGCTAGCACCTATTCCGATTTCAAGACCCAATTTAAACAAAATCTTCTCCCTGACACCTTCCCTGTTTGTCCGTTCTTGGAGAAAATTAAATGTATCTTCCTCTGTGCTCCCCTAACACCTGTATATTCATTCCCCTATCAGACATGTCAACGTGTCATTCTATCCTATTCCAGCTGTGTCCTCCCAGCTTGGGATTATGAACGAGCTTCTCAAGGACAAGGACTCTGTCACTTGCCCATACGTCATTATTTATACAGTGTAAACATTCCATCTATTTTTACTAACCAGCTGGGTAAAGCAACCTGTGATCCTACTTGCTACAAGTCAAAAAGCAAATGGAGGGGAAAAAAACTTCTCTCTTGCCCCATCCGTTGTCCTCTCGGGGGGGAAAAGTGAGCGTGTTCACAATGTTAATGAGAGGACAGCCGGGGCCCGGCAGGATGACCAGATCCCAGCTACTTAGATAAGCAGCAAAAATGTTTGGAGCTAAAACTCCTGAAACACCCAAATGACCAGATGGTGCCGTATGGCCTGAGATCAAACAAGAACTTCTAGCAGAGACTAGAGAGGATTGTGTTGCACTCTCGGCGTCTGTAATTTCAGGAGTGGCCGGCGAGGAGAACCTTTCGGCGTGGAATTTCATCTCTGTCCTGGCCCCGTGGCTCCCCTGGCAACACAGACGCAGCCCTCGGGCTGCTGCGGGCACCGGCCCAGCTGAGACCGGGAGACTTCTAAGGTGCTCTTAACCAGGCTTGCTTTATTTTTTTTAAAGAAAAGATAACACAGAAATGAGACAAACCACTACTTATTCCTAATACCAAATTAACCATGGAATATTTTTAAAATGTATTATACCTAGACCATAAAGTAAAAGTAGAAATTGTCTAAGTCATACTCTCTGATATCTACCATTATTAATGTAATAACACTATAAAAATAAAACATAAGACTAGTGCCCCCAAAAGAAAACCAATTCCAAACTACAGAATGCTTTCCTAAATAGGTCTTGGGATAAAGAGAATATCAAAATTGAAATGTTTACTAACAAATATAAGAACTTACCTACTCCAGAAAATTTGAGTTTTACCTGCCTTTATGCTTTAAAAGAGAGAAAGAAAAGCAGGCAGCCAAGGGGGGGGAAAACCCTAGAATTTTAATGTAGGAAGCTTAAAAAAAGATCATGAAGAAATAAAATAAAGGTTTATGGGGGGTTAGGAATTAGTAAAAATTTTTAAAAGTGTTAAGTTAGAAAATCTATTCAAATTCATTAAAAAAAAAACTGTCCTCAAAGTCAGTACATAATAACATAAAGACCAGTAAAGTAGTCAAAACTCAAGTAAGGGGTTTTCAAAGAAAAAAGAGCATGTACACACTTAGGAATAAGAAGGGCTTTATAATAAAAAAAATACATAAAACCATTTAAAAATTACAAATGAAAGACTTCCAGTTACATACCACAGAATTAATACACTCTCAACTGCACCCCATCCCCGCAGATGATATCGAGGACTAGGAAAGTGTAACTCCCAGGAGCGAAGATGATAGCAGACGAAGGATGTCAACAGTATTTCGGGAGACGGGAGAAGTGGACACGTGGGAACTGTCTGAGAAAGAGGAAGAACTAAAAACCAACCCCGACAGGCTCGGGGGCGGAGGTCACTGAGTAACTCAGAAGGCAAGCACAGGGGATAGGCCTGAAAGTTCCAGGCACTGCTTGGAGATATCTCTAAGGGGTAGCTGGATGCCCAGATCCCTCGCTAACCCCGTTGCCCGACAGACTTTCACCACGTGGGGAGAATGGACCAGAAATGCTCCTGATAATAGGAGCAACGGCTAAAGCTGAAGTGAGAGTGAGCCCCTTACCTAAATGTTCAACAATATGGGTTAAACATATGTAAGCATTTTGACATTTTAACACATGATAGTTTTTAAAGATTTTATTTGTTTTTAGAGAGGGGAAGGGAAGGAGAAAGAAAGTGAGAGAAACATCAATGTATGGTTGCCTCTCATGCGCCCCCTACTGGGGACCTGGTCCACAACCCAGTCATGTGCCCTGACTGGAGATGGAACCTGCAACCCTCTGGTTCGCAGGCCTGCATTCAATCCACTAGGCCACACCAGCCAGGGCTATACATAATATTTAGAACAGTTCCACAGGGGCACTGTCAATTCACCATCACATACAACCAAAATTTTGGAAGTAATTTTAAAATAATGGATCCTGGGTCAAGTCCACAAACCCAGCTATGATCAACCACAAAATGATGAGCATTTTCCCCAGTGCATGTGTACGGTGCAACAATGGGTAGAAACACCATCTAATAAAATCAACAAAAAATGGTAAAATGTTTGATTTTTTCCTTATATAGAATGCTTGCCTTTATAAAGATGGCAGCATTTATATATCTCCAGCTCCAGAAACTTATGTCATGCGGAAAATGATTGCTTCGTATAACTACTAAGTGAATCTAATAAACACACACAAGAAATTGAGGAGCAAAGTAGTACTGCCCACTCAGATAAATTAAAGGAAGCCCATCTGAGTTAGCGAAGGACAGAATCTAAAGCATTTTTAAATAAATTTAATTAAGTACAAGTTCTTTCAATAGATAGAACCAGACAGACAAAATACGGCCCTGTAGGAAGGCAGCCAGGTAGAGAGGCAAGCTCTGGACTTGAGGGCCCGAACGGGATCCCCAATCTAGCTGAGTCCCATTCATGTGTGACCTTTAGCAAATCACTTAATCTCGCTGGGTCTCACTTTTTTTCTTCTGTAGAACAAGGGCTTTGGGCTTCTCGGATTTTAAAAATGCACTCGAACCACCTGAGGATCTTGTTAAACGACAGGCTCTGATTCAGTGGGCCCGGGGTGGGGCCCTGTAAACTCGCATTATATTTCTCCCGAGCTCCCAGGTGGGACACATTTAAGTAGTGGGGTTCAGTGGCCCCTGAAGTCCTTTCCCTCCGCTGTTCTGACACTTCATCCTTAGGATACCTGTCTTAACAACCCATTAAGGATAATTTAGCATCGGTGCAACCCCAAGGGCAGTGCGTGGGATGTCTGGCTCAGTAAACCTCTGCTCCTCGTGCTGACAGCAGCGATGTGCGCCAGGCTACGGAAGATGTCTCAGCGCGCCTGCGCGCCTGTGGAAGAGAAAGCGGTTTCCAAAGACAGGCCTCGGCAGGAGCTCCGCTTTCAGTCACCATGAGCGCAGTCTGCAGGGCCCTGTCGGGCGGCCCTCTGAGTACTAAACGCTTGAAGGACCAAGTAGCCTCTTGGGGAAATAATCTTGTCCTGAAGAAAAGGGCAGGGAGCACAATCCCAATCCAAAAACAGAGAACTGCGAGGTAGGAGAGGGACGCAGGGGTGGGGGGAGGTGGCTGCTGCTGACCGCACACAGTGTCCATTGTTCAACAGCCCGCAGCCAGGTTAAGAACCACCTGGAGATAGGGTGACCAGCCGGTCTCAGTTTTAATACTGAAAGTCCTGTGTCCTGGGAAACCCCTCACTGTGGCGCAAATCAAGACAGTGGGTCACCCTCCCTGGAGAGCCTGTTCAAGCAGAATCAGTCCCCAGAGATGCTGATCGGCAGCGGTGGGGCAGGGTCTCGAACCTGCATTTCTAACGAGCTCCCAGGTGGAGCACACTAGGAGTTGTGCTGTGAGTGTAGCTCAGCCTCCAGACTCGGGCCAGCGCCCCGGGGAAGGAAAATGCAGCAAGGAAGAAGCCTTTCACCAAGTCCAGGCTGACGTAAAGCTTAGCATTGGGGCTAGTGTGAAGGACAGAATAATCCCAGGAGAAGAACTCTCCAGGCCAGCAGAAAGATCTCTGTGCATTTGCTATAACCTGAGGGGGACTTTTGTCTGGACAGTTTCACATCCAGGTCAAGGACAATGTTAGTTCTGTCATCAGCAGACTCTGCTCAGTAGAGCGGGGAGGTGGCTGCTGCGCAGTAACTGAGGGAACTACTGCAGAGGTGAGGGACCCCCAGCCCTCACCCCCAGGGATTCCTAGAATCACTGGCAGAGAAGCAGGAGAGTGGGGATTCCAAAATCAAGGAGGAAGCATTTGACAAGTATTGTATTATTATTATAGTATCTTCAGCCAGGGCCGCCCCCTCAACTCACTTCCCTTCTCCACGCTGCGGGGACTGAGCCAGTCTCGGCCACATCCAGCACAATGAGGATGAGCCCTAGGTTGGCGTCTTCCCTCCGGCTCCTTGGTTCTGTGATCCTAAACTGTCAGTCCTCCAGTCTGGTGTGAGATGGAGGTCGTGTGGCGAGGATTAGGTGGTAATTATAAATGCCATACGAGCCCTAAAGCACTAGACTGAGACCATTCACGTGAATATTCATATCTCTTCCCGTAGACATTTGTTATTATCGTCAGAAACAAGTCGCACAAGATGCAGTGCCAGGTACTGGTCAGAGGGGCGCAGACAGAGGTTACTTGGGCTACAGACCTAGCCTGGCCACTTGCCAGCTGTGCAATCCCAGGCCATCCCTGTGCCTCAGTTTCCTACAAATCTGTAAGGTGCAGACAGTGCCAAACCTCCTTTGTCTGGTGGTTGTGAGAATTAGAGAAAATGAGTTAGTCCATGTAAATCAAATA